ACACAATAACAAGAGTAGCGACAAAACGGTTAGTAAGAAAATGGTACCAGTACTCCTTCCCGTAGAAACAAAAGAGTGAAAACAAGAACGGTTGGCTGCCGACTGGACCCATCGAGCCTTTCTCCGTCATCGGCGGCGGCGCCTCAAAATTTCGCATTCGGCAGCTTCAGCCGATCGGTTTAAATCTCTGAATACAAGTCTCGTTTGTTTTTGAATTTCATAAAACAATAGAACATATCAATAAAAACAGAAGTGGCTAAAAAGCATTGAGCAATAGTTTTCTCTTTTCATTTTTCGATGCAAAACTAGAACAAATACTGTTCAAATTAATAGAGACAGACTTCTCCTTGTATATGTGTCAGAAACGCATTATTCAATCGAGTTTGTGTCATCGTCGATTGGAAACATGTCTCCATGCGGTTCATCATCGAAAATAGTTCCACTATAACTGTGGTTAGAAACACCGTCAAATAGAGATGCAAAAGCCGATTGAACTAATGAAACATTATTTTTCCAATTAGTTGTTTGATCATCACGTCGATGATTGCCGATATTTTTGTTATTCGCATTTGTTTTTGAATCACCGTTCGACAGAAATCGGCAACCAGTGCACATTCGTGTTTCAATCTTTCACAATCGGAATCGTTGACTACGAACTGTGTATTTCGACGAAAGGACAATCAATGGTGCTGGCGCAAGAATCATTAGCGATGGCAATCAAAAAATCTTGTAACTTGAACACAACCACTACGAACAACATTTATCGGAGAAGCGCATATTTTCTGTCTCCTCGAAGATAGAAACTATCACAAGCGCATAAAATGTGTTTTACCGGAATGTCAAGTCCAAAATTAGGTGAGACTGAGCCTCAATTGGTCCAAATTACGTGAGGATCGTGCCTCACGAGTCTCAATGGATCCACTGCCTCCCATGCTGCCGAAAATGGACGAAAACCGGCGGTTAACCACGATTAGTTAAGAACCAACAGTTACCGACCGTTTTTCAGGCTAATTATGAGGTTAATCGTCGGTTTTCCTACTATGTCTACAACATGGGCTGTGCTTTGTCACACAACTAAAACAATTCTATATTTCACTATTTTGTGCTAAAAAACTGGATTTTATAATTTTCATGCTATTTCTTTGGTGCAAAATTTACTCTTTAAAAAAAAGGTTTTATATGAAATCTAAAAGGGCAGAACTGCAGAATCTGGCTGTTTGCTCCGACGATCGTCGGGGGAAAACTTATTGATTCGGGAAATTTTCTGAAAAATTGGAGTTTCTTTTTACATATATTTTGCAAAAAGAAATTCTGTTCGTGGATTATGCTGAAGAGCTTTTTGGAAAACTTTTTCCGTCAAGGGAAGTTTTCCAGTTTTAGTGGTCAATTATGCACCTCTGTAAAAGGGTTCTGAAATGAGACTAGTTTTCTAAACCGTTTTAGATATTGTATAAAATCTTTTTTTCCATTGAGTACAATTGGCTTGCAATCGTTCCATGTAAGATGGCATCGAATTAAGAAGATTCATAACTTCAAATTTTTATCCTGCAGTGAGGATTTGCACCCCCCCTTTTTTAGTAGGCTCGTTAAACTGTTAAGACAGTAATAAAATTACACGTGAGAAAATTTGATCGAACTCCTTTACATTTTGTTGAACAATAACAGTATGCCACTACTCGGTACGAAAAACATCTGAATATGCTAAAACAAATAGAAAACAATATGAAAAAACATAATGAGACATATTTGACCAAGTTAAGGTAATCTCAGTTTTAGAAATCCTTGATTAGTCATATACTTTATTGATTTCTCAATATATTCTTCAGAAATAGGAGGAAACCAGCCCAATGCACATTTAACACGTAAAAATGCTCCATTTTTATGGGCATATCTACCAGTTGACTCTTATCATAATTAACAGCGAAGATCATTGAGGATCTTTGATGTACATTTCACTATTTTGTCTATAGTATTAAACAAAAGTTCGCTCAAAACAGAACTACATAAATTTATCAATTCTATGCTCAACTTACTAACAACTTGTGTAGACCTTTCGATTTAAAGATGAAACCTCTTCCTCAACCATACGATGAGCGCTCATGTCCGGTCAGGTCTTAACGAGCTACATTTTGAATTATAAGCACAGTGCGAGTCACGTTCTTCATCTGAGCAACGGCATATAGAGTACGTCACATTACTTAGTGATTGCACGTGCAAATATAGTTATTGTCACGTTGCACAGCGTATGTAAGCGAGTTCGGAGGAAAATAAAATTTATCGATTTCCTAACGTTGGTTAGTGGATCTTCCATATACAATACTATTACTTCTGTTTTCGCATATTCACACATAAGAAGCCTGGCACAAATTAGCTTGCTTAATAGAGTGGATTGGGACAAGTGGATAACTGTGTTACTGTGTCACTTCAAGTGAAGAAGTGTCACTCAAAATGAGAGACACTTCGAAGTGTGTGCAGCAAAACTGGAGGTTATTTCCCCCTTGCAAAAACAACAGACTCACAAACCAAAAAAACTAACCTTTAATAAAAATATAAAAATCTCAACTCAGATATTAAGATTTAATGTAAATAAACATAGTTCAACTGGTGGGCTATGTGATGGCTTAAAGATTTTGTTCCAACTGCTAACGTTCTTCGGAAAATACGTGACTAAAAACGGGTCTAAAAACACAGACGTAGCCGGACAATGTTTTTACCATGTTTTAAATAACAAGGACTAAAATTGTTAAAACTACGTTTTGGATTGGGAAATAATTGAGATTGAAGCTTCTCATTTTTTTCCTTACTTTTCGAATTTGGAGCACCTTACCGATGTTTGCATAATCTATTATGTATTTCTTAGATATAATTGGAAAAAAAGCAACTTATGTTTCTAATACTTATGGTTGACACATATTGTATCGCTTTTCAAGGCACATCGAAGGTGTACGATCAGATAGTGTTTTTAATCTTACACAAAAAGAGTGATAAAAAGATATAATGACACATCGGCAACCTATGTGACTATGAAAGTAGTTATAAGCAGTTTTTGCCAATAGTCAATCTGGTATGCATTGTATACTATATCTAGGTATGCACTAGTACCAGTTAACCGGGTATCCGAACGATTTGGTAATCAAATAATATAATAAACTCTTATTTTTATAATGAAGAAAGCATTTCTGAGGGTCGAGTATCTATAATGTGCAAGACTGCGTCCAGAAAAAATCTTAGGATTTTATCATATTATTTGATTACCAAACGTTTTGGTTAGATAAACAGAATGATGAAACTGGTCTATATATACTTGCAATTTTACTACTGATCAGAATAGAAAAGAATAGAAAAGAAGCAAAAATTAAAATCCTTATATCTCCATCAGATCTTATGCTGACTCAAAGAAATTTTCAGAAAACGCTCGGGACAGCTCATAAAGCATAATCGAAGACGAAAACGTGAATTTCAGCCGGGCATTGGTTTAAGGTTTTCTAGAAATCTTCAAAAAAACTTCAAATCATCGCTGTTCTGCTGGACCAGTTTTTTGGCGTGATCAACAATATATGGCACCTTTTAAGTCTTTCCTAAAATGTTCTTTGAGTCAGCATGAGATTTGATGGAGATATAAGGATTTTAATTTTTGCTAGTAACAGACGAAAAATCGGTTTATCATAAAAATGTCTCTGGTGAAGTTATAGTCATTTCTACACAAAAATAAATGTTGCCACTATGCTCAGCGTAGTCTGTTACCTATATTCCATGGCATTTCGAGATTCCCAGAGATGTCTACTCGGAGGTATACATTTGCTCGCGGAAAGCGAGCCCTGTCCGAACGACGATAGTTGGAGAGCCGGGATTTGTATAATTTTGTAGAGTAACGTCTCTACCTCATTTCTATCAAAATTTATTCAAAAAACATTCATCTGGGTTGACTTCTGGGGCCGATAGTAGTAGTAAGTTGATTCTGATGAATACACATGGTATTAAAGTACGTTGGGGATTGATTTTGAGTCTTCTGCAGATTTATCCTTAATACGTTAACACAATGTGAAGTTTGAAATCAAATTCATTTTCGAAGATGCTCGAATATAATATGAGTGCAAAAAATTAACTAGTCAAAAAAAAACTAGTCAAAAAATTAGCCGCCCTTTTGAAAATTTTAACGTAAGTTACATTTTTCTTAAAATTTTCTTTACATTTCTTACATTTTTATTAAAAAATTTGCACTCGCAGGCGCTTTAAACGCGTCTGTAAGATGAAATTTTCCAGTAGGCAGTTTGAATTATTTAGCTAACGAATTTGTACAAGATTAATATTTCAGATTTTCAAAATATCGAAATACTAGTAGATAGTAATGGTACGAATGACTATGAGATATCGTAAACGACGAAAGAACCTATAATATAGTGAATTTTAAACCTTCTTCACTTCGTTGCGTTCTTTTCTGTTAAATCTGATCTTAATCAGTTTTGTTTTTATTTTGAAAAAACATAATCGTATATCCTTATTAATGAAAGTATCGATGTTTCTTATTAAAGAAAAAAGAAAAATGATGAGAATGGTGTAGTTTCAGTTCGTTGAAATATTACGTTTCAAATAATCATTTTTTCAGTGGTTAAAAGGATCTCAATGGGAAATCATTTTATCCTTTTAGGGCTTGACTTCTCAAATGTTTTGTGATTGAACTGAGCTCGTCGAGTATCAGGGTCAAATCGTGCTTCAAAAGAAAAAAACACCTTTTTTTATCGTTTAAAAACTTGAACTTTTTTCTAAACTATATATATTAATCTCATCTTACCATATTTTTATTTATTCTGTCACTCTATATATATATACACTTGTTTCGATTAGAAGTCGAATATATTGGTTCTGAAATATGAGATGGTATACTATTATTAATAAAAATAAACATATTGCTAATAGTCATAATAAAGTTCATAAAAGAACATGCCATTTGTTTTTTAGTAGATGCAACAAACGAAGAATAGTGAGTTAAGCTGGCTAAAATGTTCTTTATTTTGTTCGTATATTTACTACACCTAATTTCATTATGTATAACTCAACCAACATCATACACATGCGATCCATTATCATCATGTGGTTGCTCAAAAGAAAGGGCAGTTTTATCAAAAATCGTTGGTGGAGAACCAGCTGTACCCCATAGTTGGGGTTGGATAGTATCATTTCGAAGGTACTTAGATCACAAATGTGGCGGTGCTGTATTAAATGAAAATTATGTTATAACGGCAGCACATTGTATCGATGATATTAATACAATAATATCAAATACAGTATCCGTTGGCAAACATCAACTGAGTCGGAGTGGACAAATTCGTTCAATATCAAAAGTATTTGTGCATCCATACTATAAGAAAAGCACATTTGAAAATGATATAGCTGTACTTCAATTATCATCACCATTAAATTTATCAGATCCTCTAGTATCAAAAATATGTTTACCCAACCTTACGGAGACCACATCGTTTGATGTTCCTGAATATCCACGTGTTAACAGTTCACTAGTTGTTGTAGGATGGGGGCGTCTGTTATTTAGGAATGACAGTTTACCAGACATACTTCAACAAGTAACAGTCAGAGCCATATCAAAAAACCATCATATGTGCTCAGAATCAATACAAAATCCAGAAATACAATTTTGTGCCGGTATTGATAATGGAGGAAAAGGTAAAATAAAATGTAATAGCATATTTAATAGGAAAAATATTTCGTTTCTCTAGATTCATGTCAAGGTGATTCAGGTGGACCATTAATGTTATTTTCTAACAATCGGTGGGAATTGGTCGGTATTGTTAGCTTTGGAAACGAATGTGCCTTACCAAATCACGCTGGAATATATACACGTGTGGCTGCTTATCAAAACTGGATTAAAAATATTCTCGAAAAGGGTATCGATGTTCTTGATACTACAACTCCTATCAGTATTCTAAAAACAACCACTACCAATAGTTATCCAATAAATTCTAAAATATACAAATGCAATTCATCAGCTCAATGTGGTTGTTCAAAAAACTGGGCAGTTTTATCGAAAATAGTTGGTGGTGAAATTGCTAGACCTAATACTTGGGGCTGGATTGCTTCGATTCGACGGAATTCGCTTCATATATGTGGTGGTAGTATTTTAAATAAAAACTATGTAATAACAGCAGCGCATTGTTTGAATTTCGATGTCCTAAGACAAGGTTCTGTTTCGGTTGGTACAGAGCGATTGAGCCAACCTGGACAAGTTCAATCTTTCTCAGAGGTGTTTATTCATCCAAATTATGATCATAGATTACTTCAAAATGATATTGCCATTTTGAAATTATCATCTCCATTAGATTTTTCCAATTCAGTGATATCAAACGTATGTTTGCCTAACATTGATAAGAGCTTTCTGAGAAGAGAAGAGTATCCTGACGTTGGCAGCACAGTAGTTTCAATCGGATGGGGTACATTATACTCCAATGCTAGCAAAGCATCAGACACACTTCAACAAGTAACAGTCAGTACTGTAGCCAAAACACATTGGACTTGTTCTGGTTCAATTACAAATCCAGAAATACAATTTTGTGCCGGTGTTAATGGTGGTGGAAAGGGTACATCTTTTTCTGTGTACAGTGACAGTACTAATATTCAGCAAAATAGGAAAACGATATTTGCTTTTTGAGCAACTGTTGAACAAAAAGTGCAATAGGCCTGAGCAATCGAGACAGAAGGCATAGTGACATCTTTCGATAATTGAAAAACTTTCAGAAAGCTTTTTCGAAACAGCTTTGTTCATGGCTACTTTGAATAACCACGCCATGCCTCGAAAAACCCTTTCATTGATCTTTTTCGTGCGTAGGTGGACATGAGTTCCCTTTTCAAAACGGAGTCAATTCAGCGCCTGATTTTTCGTTGCTTAGCGACGAGAAGCCAGATTTTCACGAAGTTCTGAGACTGATGTCTCGAAGCCAGTGGTACGAATCAAACTACATGGGTTAAATGCTAATCGATCATGTCAAGTCTTATACCAATGCTTGTTCCACAAAACTTCTCATAAAAAATAGAAAAGTTCACAATTCATTCGAAATTACTTCAGAAGACTAGAAAACTGTATGACAATCTGTGCTGTAGTAATCGATTTGCTTTAATCCATGTAGTTTGATTGGTACCACTGGCTTCGAGTTATTCAAAGTCGCCATGAACAAAGCTGTTTCGAAAAAGCTTTCTGAAAGCTTTTTAATTATCGAAAGATGGTTCTGAAGTTTTGCAATGAATGGCAAGTCATAATCGGTTTCGTTTTTAGATACATGTAAAGGCGATTCTGGTGGCCCCCTCATGTTGTTCTCGAATAATACATGGAATCTAGTTGGGATTGTGAGCTATGGCGACGGATGTGGTGAACCTAATCATGCTGGCGTATACACAAGAGTAATTGCTTATCAAACGTGGATAAAAGCTATCATTAACAGCAGTCCAGTATCAACAAAATACAATTATTCACTATTATACATCGGTATAAATTTCATATTCATAATTTTTAAAAATCACTAATATATAGTGTATAATGAGAATGACACAAGAGAAATAATTTTATCATAATGATAAAATAAAGTTGTCAAGTATATCAAAGGTGTCAGCTTAATTAGACTTATGAGGTGTCTCCGGATGTCACAAGTCTTTTTTTGGTGCTTTTTTGTGATATCCTGTCTTTGTGTAAAATAAGTTTCAGTTCAGTTCAAACTGTCAGAAAACTGATGAAAAAATGTGCTAAAATTCGGCAAAATTCATCAGACAGCTACAAATCGCTAGACCCATGTGATCATTTTCTATTTTTCATCTCATATGGTAGAGAAGAACAATCTCTTCTACAACTTCTCTATTTGTCAATGGTGTAAAATCTGTCTCTGTCAGCCAGTGGAATTTAAACTCTGACTTTCCTGTACAAATTACACGGAATGACCATAATTATCTCAAATGACGTTTTTTAAAAAAATACACATTTTTTGTAGTTAGCATTTTTGTAAATGCTAATTAATTAATTAACGGTAAGCTCACTTAATGTGTAATACATACAGGTGGTAGATGTTGAAATTCTCTACGTCATAATATGATTTGTAGTCATTTTACTCAAAACTTCCCTTTGATAATAAGTTGCTCAAGTTTATCATAACCGTTTTGGCTGTATTGACCACAATCACTCCAAATGTGGTAATTATAGTCTATCGAAAGGTTCTCCAAGGAAATTCATCAGCGTTCATTAACACTTTCTGAAATTTTTTTACACCATTTGATAGGAAACACTCATATCTCCCTAACGGTTAAATACCGCCTTTTTCCGGTCAAAACTGACAAACTATGACAGAAATACGACGAAATTTTGATGACCTGACTATAGGTATCCCACGCGACGCTGTATGACTTTTTATCAGAGAAAAATAATTTTATAATAAAAAAATCGAGAATAAAATCACCTTTTTCATGTTGAAATAACTATTTCAAAATGAGAAGTTTCGTCTTTATTCTAAAAACATCATCAGTCAACTGATGTGCAAAAAGTAAAATAATTTTCTTTTCTATGACTACTGCTTATCAATTGAAAAGGAAAAGAACAACAACATTTTCTGCTTTTTTGTTATGTGAAAAAAGAGAACCGTAATAAAAACGACCTTCATTCAAAAACTGTCAATTACGATAGAATTGTTCTCGTTGACGATACGAAGTAAAAACGGATAATAATCTTTTTTCTTTCGTTGATCAGCTTCTATAAAAACAACAACAACACAATAGTGCAGATGGAAATAGTCCTTTCAATCTGCTCTAATATATGTGATAAGAAATGCGTTAAGTTGAATGAAAGAAAACAAAGCGCTATGACCGCTATCCTCGAATTTAGTCATAATTATTTGTCTTTCATTGACTCACAATACTCTGTATGACTGAGACAAAATTCAGATTTGCTCAAGGCATGAACTTGTAAAACAGCTTCCTTTCAGAAACACAATAGGTGTGGTACATGACAAATCTAACTCCACTACTCCCAGTCCGATTATTCTCATTTTTGGCGCTTAAGGGTTTCTCGACATGCCCTTTCGTTTGTCTAGCTGAAAGTTTTTTCCAAAGTGCTCGAAAGTAGAGTTTCTAGAAAACCATGGTTTTTGACCTACAGATTCCGAATGAAATTAGTTTTAGAAAAAAACTGAATGTTA